CCTACAAGCGATGACCTCCAACCTACAAGCGATGGCCTCCAACCTACTAGCGATGGCCTCCGCCCTTATAGCAAAAGGAGCCAAACATTCTATTTGTCCATTTGACCCTTGTCCATCCTTTTACTTACTTCGCGGTGAAGGTTTTGGGACCCATGTGGGCATGTAAAGCAAAATAACCTTCGGAACATTTCGGAACGCTGGCCACCACTTTGCTAGGCTGAGCTACTCAGGAAGCTACGTCTCTGGCGGAACTTTTGGTATCTACAAGCGGGAGGCTTCACATGGAACCTGAAAATACACCTTGGAAGACTAGCTTCCTCCACAAACCAGTGGTTTTCAGGTTCCACATTGATCTTCCAGGGCGTACCTCCTGAATTGGCACAAAACGTCTCAACTGATTCGAGTTGGATGAGCTCAAGCCCCAACCGAAGCAGCAAAGCACCCCGTTGCCACCCACGGGCCCACCTCTTCTTTGATCCTGTGCCATTCCAACGGGATGCGCATCAAGCACGATTGATGTCCGCAACTTTGGCGGATGCTTTTTCTTGCGGGATCAGTCGTGGTTTGTTGCGTGCTCGGTGATCGGTGGAGTGTTCGGTGGGCTCCGCGGGGGTACAAAGGCTAAAGCTTGAGAAATGGATGATGTTCCTAGTTGGATAATATGGTTGGAAGCCTTTCCTGGTCTTCCAAACCATCCATAGTCTACGGTTGGTAGACGTGTTGCTGAACTCTGTGGTTGCATTCTGCAAGTCTCTTTACAACCGCTGTTGGCTTGATGTCCCATGGTCACATGCTATGCGGTGCTTCTGCTCCTTCTACCCGTAGAGGCAAAACAGTCAAGGCAACGAAGACTTCCCAAAGGCCAAGGGAACCCAAAACGCCAACTCAGGACTGGAGCTGATTGGGTTCCCACAAGTGCTCCTGTGTGTGGTCATGCAGATAGATGACAAGGGTGTTGACTTGGTCATGACATCAGCTGTTGGCATCCAAACGGGTCACAGCGAACAGTCTCCCTCTTTTATGCCTTGCGAGCTTTGTCAAGGTTGGTGGGTGGACGAAATCCACAACAAAGGTTGCGAGATGTAGTTAGCTTCTCCCGGAGTAAAGCAAAAGGAGGACAACGCCTCCTTCATCTTTTCAACGACAGGTGGCCCTCGACAAATCTTGTTCTAATTATTCTGCTAGTCTCGGATAACATCTAGGTTCATAGATTTCCTTCAACAGCGATCGGGCTTCTGCATGTATTGCCCAGAACTCCCCCCGTTCATGAAGTGCATCGTTCCAAGAAGTTCCAAGTGAAGCTGCACGAATCTAGTGGTGAACTCCCACTTAAATCGTGCAAAGAGCAAAGACCCCATCAACAAATGTTTCCACTGACGCCATTCGAAGCTGAGCTCGTGCAACTTCCCCTCCTTCCTTGGGCGATGCCATTCCTTACAAACGAACGCCCTTTGCAAACCGGGCCGTCATGGTTCTCCTCACAGCAGTTTCGTGTCCGCCTGCCCGTGGGTCGCTGCGCGTTTGGTCTCGTCCTACAGTGCCCACCTCAAATTGAAGAGGAAACCGGGAAAACAAACAATAGCAGTAGCATCTATCATCATCGATCAAGACCTTGCTCGAGATCTGTGACAGTGATAATGTCCACCTCCTAAAAATAACCCCGCTTGATCAAGTGCGGACCCCAGATAATGTGAATCCAGAAAAATCATAGAAAATCTTGATGTGACTTGGAAATGAAAGGAAAGGAAATTAAAGGAAAGGGAAAGAAATGAAAGGAACATGAAAGGAAAGGAAAGGAACTTGAGGACAATGAAAGGAAAGGAAAGGAAATGAAAGCAATCAATGTAAGTAGTGCTGAAGGAACTGTTAAAGGGCTGAACCTCAATAAAGCTAAAGCTTTTCAACCAAAAGGAAACCTAAAGGAATTGTAAAAACCACGAAAAGAACCAGCCAGGGATTGTTTTTTTTTTGGTTTGGGCTGCTTGTGGGGGGTGGTCTTTGTGGGTTGATTTCAGGTTACAAATGGCAATGCCCAAATAAGAAGTTGTAAAAGGAATATGCAGCAGCCAAATCAGAAATCCAGGAAGGATGGCCTTCAATAAAGCTAAAGCTTTTCAATCAAAAGGACATGTAAAAGAATTGTAAAGGAAACCACCAAATAATCCGGTTTTGGAATCAGCTGAAAGCTCAGAATCAGCTTGGATGAATCAAGGTCTGGAAGCAGCTGAAAATCAGGGTCCAGAAAACATTTAGTTTTATTTAAGGGCAATGTATTATTGGCTTTTTGAACAGATTTATATAGTATTATTCACGGGCTATTTATTACTATGAAGTCAACATTACCCGGTCAACACGATGTTTTCGCGAGCATGCCCCATTTTGTGGTAGCGTTACTGGTGGGCATGTCCTTGGTCCAAAGGACGCAATGAAAACACAATTTGCTTGAAGATTCCTCAGTCTTGGGACGGTTCACCTTTTGGCCTACAACCACACTTGGGATCAGTTGGGTGTGGACGGTGCAGATTCTGCAACGTTCAGGACCGCGGGATGAACGAAGTGGGTAAACTTGCAAAAAACGAGGATCATAGCCCTGAACTAGGATTCCAGTGAAGGACTAGTCGCAGTGACAGGAGTCCTGGGCTGATGAGTTGTGTCAACACGTCCCTTACCACACCGAGAGGACGAGGTATAGATGGGAGTTGAGGTCCAAACATCCGTCGAGATCCGCCAAGTTCCCGGAGTCAAAGGACCCTCTCCTTTCAATTGTGGTCTGGAAGAGGTTTGAACTTCTTACAGGCCCTTGTTTTTCATGGTAAATTCTTGCTCGATCGGTGCCCAGAGTCGTGGTCAACTCATAAACCTAGGACCTAGGGGTTCTTCTGACAATCTGAGTCAAAGTCACCCACTCGACCAGGGTTTTCACAGATGTCCGTGGTCTCGAAACCAACCTCAGCCCACCCATTCAAGGCGGGCGAAGCGAAGCCCCAAGTTGCTTGGCCTAGCATCTCTGAAGGTCATGGGCAAGAAAGCCAACAACCATGGCATGAGCTCCTCACATTGTCGGACAATCGAAACCAAAAGCAGATCAATCTGCCAAAGCCTTTCACACTCACAAGTGAGGTAGGAGATGGTCACTTCTAGCGATTGAAGCATTTGAAGCCAGAACCATGTAGGGAATCCGTCAAACTTGGCACAGCCCTATCCCAAGGTAAGTAGGGAGAACGCTCGCTTTTGCTTCTTTGAAATCTTTACTGTGACTCTGGCCAGGATGCTTTGTAGAGTGTCTGAGTTCGTGTAGCTGAGTGGTCAGTTCGTTTCCACCTTGTTGTATTTACTAAGTTGTCTATATCCTAGAATAGATCGGCAGGGTCTGGAGGCTGACGTTTGACTTCGTGCACAGCAAATTCCACTTCCAGGAAACGCCTTTAGTTAGGCAATGGGCCATTCAGATGCTTTCAGAGCTTTGTGAGGCCGATCTCCAGGGACTTTGGCTCGATTCACGGCGTCACTTTTAGCGAGGCTAAAGTGTGTCTGGCGTCGGGGGAGACGAATGTTGTGGAAAGAGTCTTGTGTTGTTTGGCAGGTTTAGAACGCTTCACTTTGGCACCACCATGCCAACAACTTAGCAAAATAATGCAAAATATCTAATCATGTAATGAGTTGTGTTGTTTCGCTGGACGTGTCGAGCAAGTGGAGTTCCATTGGTTCCAACGAAGTGCATATGGACAACTCATTACTATATATTGATAGCAGGCATTTGGTTTCTTTCTATCCAAAGTCGTGGCAGTATGTGGCAGTCATTGTCAAGATGGGGTTCTCTCTCTCTCTATATGTATATATATATAGAGTATATGTCTCTTCTAAACCGCATGCATTCCATTAACACCTGGTGTTCGCCATTGATCCATTCGGTTCGCTGACCTGGTACTCACTATGTGCTGTGCAGAACGTCCGTTCTCTATGAGTTCGGCCATGAGCGCCTGCGGTGGCGCCCATGCCTGGCACACGACCTTGACTGTGCTACGGCAATTCGCCTCTTCGATGATGACGCATGGCTGGCAGTTTTTTGGTGCGTGGTGTGCTGCGTCAGGGAGTCGGAGTGAGTAAATATGAGAACATGTGCCTAGAAACAGGGGGACCAGGACCCGGAAAGTATGTCAGAACTCTTGCAAGGCTATCAATGCAAAAAGAATCCAAGGACTACTGACAATTTTTCAAGTCCATTTCCTAGTTGCAGAATTTGATCGATGTGGAGGGCCTATGTTCAGGAATAACTAGTTTGATATAGTTTGTTGGCTTTTCTCCCAATGCCAGTGTCATTGTTTGGTCTTGTGAGTATCCACATCTTTGCCAGCCGCCTTGTAGGTCAAAGTTGGAGAACATCTATGTTTAGGCAAACTGAAGACCAAGCACCATCGAGGGAGTTTGGGCTTTGGGTGTGAGAGTCAGGTGAATGGCTGGTGGACGCCAGAGGGAAAAGAGGGCCATGTGGCACCCATCAGTACTGTATTTGTTCAATAGCTGGGTTTGTTGCGCCTTTCATTTCGGAACAATGTATAGTCAGGCTTTCCACAGCTGCCCACTTGTCATGAATATGAGTCGTCTATGGCGGCAAAACTAGTGTCGACCAGAGATTAATACCAGTTATCGCTTGATAAGGTCCTTGCCCACCAATTAGTTCCGTTCTTCGTTGGGTCCGTGTCCAATTGTTCTTGGGCCCACCTCTAACTTCGCCCCACTAACCTCCTGCGCACTTCTAGGATTTGACAAGACAATGATGCATGCTACAATGTACACAAAACGTACCCTGTTTTTTTGACTCTTTTTTCAGAACGGCAGGCTCTGGAAGTGCACTTCTTCACATATTTTGAGTGATCTGGAGGTGCTTTTTTAGTAAAGTTCAAGGATCTACTGAGATTAATTCACAGCACCAGTACTGCCAACGACATCTCAGCTGCTGTACTGTGAAAAAATACATAGGATTTGAAAAACCAAAAAAAACAATCCTGGAAGACTCTTTGGTGAGTAAACTAAAAAAACAAACAACAGAAAAACCAAAAAAACAATCCTGACAGAGTCTTTGGACCCCCCCCCAGCCCAAGACCTCCCAGCAATTGTTTTTTGGTTTTTTGGTTTACTCACCAAAGAGTCTCCCCGGATTATTTTGTGTTTTTTGTTTTTGGACATCTACCCCAAGACAAGACTTCTGAAGAGTTGATTATTTTTGTTTTTGTTTCCTTTATGTGTTTTGGCATCTCTAACTTTTTCATCGCATTCATCAAACTTTTTATTACAAATAGAGCACTTTGTAGCATTTCTGAATTCTAATTCTTCTTCTTCACTAATAACCATCAGCATATTAAGATCTATTTTTTCAATCATATCAGATTTGCTAATACCCAATTGTTCTATAGATTCATCCATACAATCCTTGCCCCTATACAGATAAGGTGTGGATGTTTTGTCAACTCTATTCACCACATTCAACATATAACCGCAAGGTTTATGCTCTTGATATGTGCCCTTAATCCCATCAGAAGAAGTCACAGTCAGACATTCAACATCTCCATAAATAACAAAAGGATATTCTGATTTGGTATTATACTTTTCAAAGTCAATAAAAGAACCTTCAGGGAGTAGATTGAATTGTTGCCCCGCAATTGCTAAACAACCCCTTCTATAATGTTCTTCCAAGCCCTCTTTTTTACAAAAGGGATGAGAACAATGCCTACAGAAATGTGTTTTATTGTTATCTTTATTCAATTGACAATTTAATAACCTCCTCAATTTTTTATTTACAGCATAATGGTATCTATCTTTATCACAAAAAACTATCAATAAATCAATATGATATTTAGTATTAAAAGCTTTGGTTGCTCTTGTTTTGATTATTGTTTCTTCATTAAACATATCATTTGTTTCAAAAAACTTTATTGACAGTAAACCTTCATTATCTACTTCAAGCCTGCCAACATCTCTATTGCCTGCTGGAAAACTGACACCTTCCCAATTGATGATGTCATCCTTCAATTTGCTATAATGAAACATTTCTTCTGGGTGATTTTTTGCTAATCTGATCAAACACTACTGATTGATTACAATACTTTAAGCATTTGTTATACGTATTTTTTGATATTGATACAAGCTTTTTTAACTTCACCAAATTAGGTAACTCTTAATATTTGCCTGCCCTAGTTTGATTATATCTATCATAATGGATGGTAATAGAAACTTCCTTTGAAATTCTAGATTTGACCTTGAAGCCTCAATTTGTTCTATGTGAAGTAGTTTTTCTTTTACACTATCTTCAAAAGCTTTAATCAAGTCATCTTCATTATGAATGTTGAATCTTGTGGATGATACATTATGCATAATCTCAGACTCACCTATATCACCATCAAAATCTTCACCATCATTAACATTAGGCTTACTAAGGCTTACTCAATAATGCTTCCGACCTTATGTTGAGTTTCATACCATGATTCTTTTAACGAAATTCTACACGTAATGATTTTTGATGTTGTATCATTGATAAGCCTTGTTCTCATTTAAAGTGCTTGTTTACGAGCTTAAGATTATTGGCAGACCCTTTGAAGGCTGATTTACCCTTTTCTATTCTGAACTTATTTTTCATAGCATATTTGGTTAGGGCTTTCTTCATGCCTACAACCAATGAAATGATCTTATGGTCGTAACTTCTATATTCATTAGTTTTCTTCACTGGTTCCAATTTTTTTTTTCTTTTTGAGATATCGTTGTTTTTGTTATACCTGATTTTTATTGTCAAAAACTATTGACTTTAGCTCATTGTCACCACTTTTTTGGTATTTCTGCTGATTAATTTTCAGCAAAAAATCTATATTTTCAAAATTAATTCTATATATTTTATACATTAACTACTCTTTAAGTGTATATTCAATGAGTTTATACTTCAAGGTATATTAATTTGTAATATCAGGTGATTTTAGGAATTCTTGGGATACCTATTTACAGAAATATTGATATTGATATTCAATGAGTATACCTGGGGAAATACTTGTGTTAAGCCAAAACTAACAGATGAAGGCAGACATGTCAGATAACTTAGTAGAGCTCAAAAATTGGTGAAAAAGTGCACTTCCACAGTCTGTCGGACTCTTTTTTAACACTTATGAACCAGGGCATTTTCCGCTTTGCCCTTGTCTTCGTCCATCAAACCTGTTCCTAGGTTCCATAATTCAGTTTCTGTGAGGCAACCTTGCCCTGATGGGCCAGGTCCCAAGGATAGGGGAAACTTAGGATTTTGACATCGATAGTCATCAGGATGCATTTTCGGAAAAACCAGGCCATCCACTGTCAACTGCGGTTCCACTGAAGTCACCATTGATCCGACTTCTTGCAGGTACCCATCACCGCTCCGAAGGACACCACCGAAGGCGATGAGAAGGTTCGGTGGAGTGAGGAGAAGGTGTCCAAGCGATGGGCCAGTTTTGGGTTTTCTCATAGCAGGACATCACAGTATTGCAAAGCACCTCAGTTTGATATAGTTTGGATGAATTGGTTTTGTTGGATCGGTATGACTTTTTCCCGAGAGCGCCTGCGAAGGGTTCTTCGTAAAAAACATCTGCAGAACTACGTCTCATCTACATCTTCACATCTTCACCTCCGCACATCCACATTCTGACCTATATCTTTGCTCATCTTCACATCTACATTCACAACTGCACATCTACATCTCTGCACATCTTCACATCCTCACATCGACATCTCTGCTCATCTTCATCTTCACACATCTACATCTCTGCTCATGTTCACATCTGCACATCTACATCTCTGCTCACCTTCACATCCTCACATCTACATCTCACATCTTTACCTCTCATCTACATCTCACATCTTCACCTCTCGCTCTTCTTAACTTTCTCTCGATCGTGCGTGTCGAGGGCGCGAAATGCAGGCGAGAGCGCGATTTGTCCCGGTCGTGGGCAACCCTCTGCGGGGATCGTGCGTGTCGAGTGCGCGAAATGCAGGCGAGAGTGCGATTTGTCTCAGTTTGAGAATTGGTAGCAAAG